GTCTGGAAGGTTGTGAAGGAATGGATCTCATGCATATATGCCTGACAACAAAACACGGACAATCACAAAAGATTTTATCTGGCTGTAGTCTTGCTCAAAGCCCACTACAACGCAATACTTCTATGTGAGTGCTATCCGGCAGCTCTCTTGTTATCTATGGATTGGTGCCCCACTTTGCATCAACTCTCAGAAACCCTGTTACTAATCCATATGGCCAAATATTATGATTTTAAAATATTTTATATAATCCTTCTCATTGTGCCTCTGAAGTTTCTCTTTACCAGCCATGGTTCCAGGCTGTGCTTGTTCTGTATTGCTTATGCCCAATAAATATCATTATTCCTTGCAAAGCCTCTCTCTCTCTTTCTCTTTCCTTTTCTCTCTCTCTGTTTTATCATATCAGCATATTGTGTATATTTTTAGTAATAGTTTTCTATACATGAGTTAATTTTATTTCCTTTAATAGCCTTACTCAAAATGGTGATTTTGAAATATTTCCATAATTGGAGCACCTGTGTTACTTATGGTAAATTAAAGTAGATAAATATATATATAGTTATATGTACATATGTATATCTATATATGTATATACATATATATATACACAAGATAGCTAAGATAGTTATTGTAGATAAATATAAGTATGTAGTTATATATATATATATATGTATATACACAAGATAGCTGAGATAGTTATTTTGCTAATTGCTGTTAGCTCATTGAAAGGAAAAGTATATGCCTGTATTGCTTCATCAGTTTTTTCATGCCTATATCTCATAATATGAGCAGCTACTTGGAAGACAATAATACACAAGGTACTAACCATTGTTACTCACCTACAATCTTGTTTTGAAATTTAATACCATTTCTATTGTTTATTTTGCTTTTCTTTAAAATTAAAAAGAGTAAAGTATGGAAAATATGTCACTGTATTGTTTTTTGAGACAGTGTCTCACTATGCAGTCCAGGTTGACCTTTAATCCACTGCAAAGCCCAGGCTGGCCTTGAACTTATGGCATCCCTTTTGCCTCATCCTTTTGAGTACTGAGAGTATAAGCATACACCACCACACCTGCCTTATGTCACTGTATTTTTAAAAATTAAAATAATAGTAAATGTAATAGTAAATTATAGGAATTATAAATACAGTAAGATCCTGACTTACCAAAAAGTTCTGTTCCAGGAGACTGTTTGTAAGTCAGATTCATTTGTAAAGATAACAAAGTGAATCTTGTACAATTTTGATACAAATATATAACGTAAGTCATAAACATATATACAAATACTATACACTCTCACATGGCACAGTGAGCACACAGCAGCACAACTATAACAATGTACAGCAGTCACGTGAGTGATGTCCATGATTTGCTCATGTCTACCAGTGTTCCCATGGGAAGTCCATTTGTATCTGTGAAAGTATGCAACTGGAATGTTTGTAAGTCGGGCACTTACTGTAACAGCACATCTGGTTCATAAAACTGTATACCTCCAAACAAATCATTAAGTGTAGAAAGTGAGCTGTTGATGGTTGATGGTCATTTAGTAACATAAAGAAAGATAAATTGACACCATCATGACTACAAGTTAAATGGCTGGCAGTGGTTTTGTCGAGGGTCACATCACTGTAGTCATTTTCTGGAACTTCAGGATACTTCTTCCTATTGACATTCAGATTTTTGGACAGATACTGAATTTTTGGACTGACACTGTATTTTGGGCAGACACTGAATTTTTGGTCAGTCTTCCAAGGTTCTAGATGCTGTGCTGTAAACAGGGCCTCAAACAGCCAGAGATCGTTCCCATCCTGAGATACAGGAAGAGTGCCTGAGAGAAGTGTTGGTTTGCAGATAAATCCCAAAGGACAGAGCTGCCCTCCCCTAGACAGAAGTGGTCATAATGAGGGGAACAGACAACTAGCATTTAAGTCATTAAACAGTTGCTCTGGGACTGCTGAAGAGGAATGTGTTACTATGACAGGAGGGTCAACAATGGTAGCAAATAGGTAAAAAATTTCAATGGCTTACTTTTGCTTATGTAAAGAACAAGTGTGCTGTTCAGGGGCAAAAGGAGACGGTCCTTCATGTGGCAAATCGGGAATCTAGAATAAGGCATGGGTGAAACTACTTTTAAAGGGGCAGATGGTAAATATTTCCAGTTTTATTAGTCACACACCTCTTGTCATAACTACCTAACTCTGTTGTAATGAATGCAGCCTTAGGAGATACATAAACAAATGGACATAGTGTTTCAAAATCCTTCCTTTAAAAATATTCACAGTGGGTCAGATTTGTGAGGCAATTTTCCATCCCCAGTCTAGAATATGATGACTTTCTAAATTTGTCATGGGCATTGATTCTAGTTATCAAAAGGGAGGGGAGCATGCAGCAGTGGATTTGGGTGGTTTTCAGGTCCATCTGGAAGATGGGTCTCCTTAATGCCACAGACATTCTACTGGAGAGAACTTGGTCACATCATCGGCCTAATCACAAGTAAGGCTGGATGTGTATCAGATAACTGGGACAGATTTTAATGAACAGTCCCTACCCTGCATAAAATCTTTTAAATCATGGATTTTATGTAGTATTGTTTTACTAATATACAACAAAATAAATATGGAACTCTTACATAAATGAGGTAAAGTTTGCTTATGTACCACCTGAGATGATCTTGCATAACTCCAAGAAGTGTACTATGTCTTCATAAACTTTGAATTCCTTTGACTCAAACCACAAGAACCCGATTATGAAACAAGTCTTTGTTTGCTAAGGGTGCTTTATAAAGGTTTTCTTCAGCTTTGAAAAAAATGGAAAGAGATTATTCAGAAACACGTAAAAAATGTAGACTTAAGAAAGTTCAAAAGGAATATAATTTGGAAAGGTCTTGGGAAAACTCAAACTGTAGATTATATTATAAACATTGTGAACATAGTCATCTCAGTATAAAAATGCTGTGTGACTTTTCTTGCCCTGAGAATGATCAGTGTTCACATATGTTAATGCTCAGAACTGTCCGTCATGTCTCTCGACGGCACTTGTCAAGAGTCTGGCAGGAACTGGAGGAGCTGAGAAGATTGGACACAAGCAGTGGTGCAGTGTAAGCCTGAAGGCTTCTTGGGGAAGGCATTTAGACCAGAAGGGTTAAAAAAGCGCTGAGGGACTAAATACCAGTCTATTAACAACTTTTGATCCACACAGTGCAGCAGCCATTGAATGATTTTAATCCAGGAAACTACAGGATGAAAGAACATTTCTGAGGGTAGAATTTAGCCGCAACAAGCAAGCCATTTGGAGAAACTGGAAGGTGAATCTGCAAGAAATCCTCCTAAACACTTGGGAAGGTAAAAGATGAGCTGTCCTTTACAAATATGGTTAAGTCCTTTGTGAGTAAAAGCTTGTCTTTTGGGGGCTTGTAAAAAATGTAGCAAGAATGAATGACATACACTTCTGTACAAAGCTTGACTGCACAGTTTGTCCCTAATCTCAGGATCTATTATTGCTGGCCCTCTGCTTTCACAATAAAAACTTTAATCTATTCCATATACTTTAACTGACATTCAAGATTCTTTAGTCTATTCCATTCCTACTTAATGCTGTACATGCAGGCCCAGAGGACAACAGGGATGTGCAGAAGGCTTGGTGTGTGTGTGGGGGGGATGACCTACAACATCATCCCCTTCCAGCCTACCTACCATTTTCCAACAATTCTTCAAGCCGCACATATACAAAATATCATTATAACAGACCAATAGTATGCACACCAGGACATGTACGTTTAAACCTAATACACAAATTGTACCTGTTGAATAGGTTAAGATTTTTACCACTACTAATTTAAAAATATTGCCAAGTATTGGCAAGATTATGGAAAACACAGACAATCTTGTATCATCAACTGATCAGGCCCATAACATCCTCAATGAGAGGACTGCAAACGGCTTAAACAAAAGAGACAAGTGGGATGATTTTAGGGCTCCAAGAAAATCAAACCCCCTAAGGGAACTGGCAATTCCCTGGGGATTGAGAGAAAGAACTTCTCCAGGCTGCTCATATTTATTTGGTTTTCAAACAAAGGAAGAAGATATGAGGCAAGAGCAGGAACCGAGAAGAACCTTGGGAGTCAGCTCAAAGAGTTCTCTAAGCAGTAATTTTGCAAATTAAGAGAACTGTCTTTTTTTCTAAGAGTGGCAGCTGTATTGCTCTGGAATAGGGGATATCAGCACCCCATGTCCTTGGCTGCCTCAGAGTATTATGCACATGCTCTTTTCTGACATAGTCAGAGATCCCTGTGTTCAGCAATTTAACCCTGTGTAGCCCAGTCTCCAATAGTCTTGGGGAACAATTTGCTAAGATATATCTTATTATTTAAAGGAGTTTTCTGCTAGATATTTTAATTAACCATGCTATGTATTTTTCTTGTTCTAATTCTTTGGCATCTGGTCATCTAATTCTTTGGCAAATATATGCCAATAAATTAGAAAATCTGGAAGAATTGGACAAACTTTTGGAAAAAATATGACTTACAATATTTAAACCCAGAAGATATAAAAAAACCTAAGTAGACCAAGAACAAGTAATGAGAGTTAATCAGTAATAAAAAGTGTACCTGGCTTATTACTACCTCTCTTGCTATTGCTTGCTCCCAGTCTCTCTCTGAAACATCTGACAGGCATCCATAGAGAACAACTTATCAAGGTGTAAACACTTCCTTGGGTTTATTATTTTCCAATATTTTATGGCCTACATTTGGATGTTAGCACTTTGGTAAGTGTTTTAGAGGAATTCTCCTCACATATATGATGACATCTTTTATCTCAGGTGGAAAGTGAAACATACTTCACGTCCCACCTTTCCTCCAACAGGCTTGCCTTCCTTTGAGTTCTGTGTCATCATTCACCAAGGCCACCCCCGCAGAGACATCTCCTGTGATGGTGTCTCTTCTTTCAACCTTCTGTATTGGAGAAGCATGGGTTCATCTCTACGCCAGGACACAGACACGGATTTAGTCTCAGTAGTTAAATTTATTGCTGCCACAAGTAAAACATTCCCTCTCCCTAGACTTCACACACCCCCTTCGCACAATACTCCCACCTCCACAAGTTTTGCCGCAATGGCCTACCAACACCTTCTGTAGAATACACTGCTCTTAGCTGTCCCAAAGGCTGGCTGGGCCTACTGTTCAGAGCTCAATATGTTCTCTCTGGGGTGGCTTCACCACTGCTTCCTTGGCCCAGAGCTCAGTCCAGAAAACCATTTCCTTTTCTTTCAGCCTCTGGGCTGCTTGGGTGTTGGTGCCAATCTGCAGGTATCCTTCCTTCTGGTCATACTCTGGCCAATGGGGCAAACCCTCCCCATTGGGGTTCCTGGGAACAGATAAAATAGAAATTCCCAAAGCTGCTGTGTGGTTCCTGAATTTCTCTGAGATTTCAAGGGATCCCCTGGTTTAGCTCTGTAGAGTTATTTGTATATCTCCAGAGAGGAGAAGCCTCCCCCATTTCTCATTGTCAGAGTGCTATGGTAATAGGGTCATAGGATTTTATCACTCAGACTTCAAAATCTACCCTTTCCCAATAAGTATGCTATACCCTCACCACCAATCTTGCCGCATCCTTGCCATTAGCCTCACCCATTGCGAGCAAAGTTGGCCCAGAATTTCATCATCATCTTGCTAAGGTTGATCTCCTCTTCTGAGGCACCATCTGTGGGGGAAGAAGAGACAGAAAAAAAAGAAGGAGGAAGAGAAGCAGGAGGAAGAGAAGCAGGAGGAAGAGTAACAGGAGGAGGAGGAGGAGGAGTGGCCTTTTGACTCAGAGTGTGCTTTATGGGCTTGCAGCAGCACAGTATGAGTTGGTAAGTTGTTAGAGAAGCAGTGGTGACCCTTACTCCATACCTACTGATCTGCATTTTAAAAAGATCCTGGTTAGCTAGTGGCAGTTTTACCCTGAGAATGATGGCCAACAATGGATATACAGTCCATCAGTGAGTTACCTGCCTTTGTCTTCTCTGCCTACTTCCCCGCCCTTCCTTCCTCAGGATCACAATTCTACACCCCAAAGTTTCTTCTGATTCTCAGGATTGCTAGGTTTGAGCATTTTCTCATCTCCTACATGCATGCATATTTCCACAGATTGTGAAAACTATCAGAACTTCAAGGTTCCTAAGGATCTACCCAGCTGGGAGATGCCCAGACTTACAGATGTGTCATGCATAGCCATGAAATGGGCCATAAGTCAGATGCAACTAATGGCACTGAAGGTATTTACAAAGATTTTCTTTAAATAGTATAGTTTTAAATAGATTGTACCTTAAAATATATGAGTTTTATATCTATTGGAAGATTAACACATAAGACATATACATATGACACTCCATTCAAAGTTAGCACCAATTGGGATCTTCATTTCACTTACATTCTGACAGTTTTGTGAGTGAGAAATCAAACAGTGGCCATATTATTGATGTCATAGATAAAATTCTGAGAATAACAATGGCTGAGGGCATGTGGATGTACTAACTTCTTCACACATGTTACAACTGGAAAAATGTTGGCTTCTGTTCTCTGTAGTTCAGTCATGTGACAGTGAATCCAGAAAGTAAGATCAAGAAAAATAGAGTCTACGGCCACACCACCCTGAAGGCACCCAATTTCGTCTGATCTTGGAAGCTAAGCAGGGTCCTGCCTGGTTAGTACTTGGATGGGAGAAAAATACAGAAACCTGCTCAAGGCCACCAAACTATGTCTGGAATTCAGGCCTACTAATTCTATGCTCACAGCCAGCAAAAGACCATTACCTTTTAAAAATGGAGCACCAAATACCGAGAAGATCTCATCCCCGTGGTCTCCTATCACCGTCTTGGGTTTCATGGCTGATGAGAAGCTTGGACGATACTGAAACTCATACATGTAGGTGGGAGCTCCGGCATCTGAGAAGAAATGAGTCACACACAGTTTATGTTATCAAGACTACACTGGCTTGGTGTCATTGTCACCAGCTGTGCAGGAAATCCCTGGTTAATGGAACAGTAAAGAAACATGGGTTTGTGTAGGGGGAGTCAGACACAAAAGCTGGTGAGTCTGTATTTTTCTCCCATCCAATTTCTAGGACTTACCTCTGTGGCTACGAGCCACAGTCACAGAGGGAACACCAAACACCACATCTGCAATCAGGTCCAGGAATAGGTCTTTCTTTTTTAAAAGATCGTGTGTCCCTCCTAAATACTTCTCGATGACCACTGGAATCAGCTCCTCAGGGATGTTCTGAAATGCCCCAAGAGAGTGATCCTGCTTACCTGGTAAGTAATGTGGCTTCTCTAAGCAGGGAGGAAGGCTTCACTGATGGTGACTTTTTCTAGCCCTGTGGAAATCTCTCCAGGGATGATGAAGTGGGAAGGGAAGAAAATGCAGATTGAACCTCATATCCCACTCTCTTTTCTGCCTTTGAATTTGGGCAAGAACCATAACCTTCACTAACTGCCAACCACTCAATTCCCACTGATTCCCTAGACACTTACAAGAATGGGGTAGGACTTCCACAAGAGTGATGCAGCTGTCTGCTGGTCCATCTTGCCTTCAGAGATCGGATAGCCCATCATCTGTTTAAAAAATCATTAAGTATTTTCAAATCATCAGAAGTAAATAACCAACCAGACTAATCAACTAAACCAACAGAGATTGGAGATTCTTTGAGTCCTTGATAGGCCCAGGTTTTTTTTGAGTTTGAAAAATATAAATTAAGCAAATACTTGTTGACATAGAGACAGAAGTCCAAGGAATACAAAGAGGACATCATCAACCCATAATATTTATCACAAGGGAACACAACAGTCACCCAGGCAGTGAGGAAACATTTAGGCCAGGACATTGTTGGAGCAGAGGACTTAGGGATGGAGGACACTGACAGTACTCCATAGATGCAGATGATTGAGGAAAACAAAATCAATCAGTATGGGTTTATTCCTGTGATAACATTTGGAATCCTTTTAAAGTGAGAACTATAGAACTCTCAGCATGTGACATACCTGTCCAAACCTCTGCATTCAGACACTTGATCTAACTCTTGCCTAGAGAGGATCTTGGGGAAGGAAGAACTCATAGCATCAGAGTTCTGGTAATGCAGGAGATGGGAGAGCCTATCTTGGAGGTTTATGCATTCTTACCATTGGAATGATCCAGCCAAACTCTTGTTTGTTGATTCCCACGATGTAGGGGACAGTGTGAAAATTCTTGTCCTCCAGCATTTCTTTAGGCGTCTTTGTCAGCACTACTCCATCAATTACAGTGGGCAAGAAAGAATGGCTCTGGGAAAGAGAGCAGCATGATGTCTATGATTACCCTGCTCAGGTAATACCTATGTGTCCCACTGTCTGTTTGAGGTCTTGGCCAGCAGATATTCCATGGCTGGGAACAGTGTTCAGAGAAACTCAGGGTCCTAACGACAGAGTTAAGAGGGATTAGCAGTGGTAAGATGATGATGGCAGGACAGGGGTAGAGGAGTGCTTGCCCAAAGTAATATATTATCAGATATAACATATATATATATACATCAGTTTTTAGAATATATACAAGGTGTGATCAAATTACATGGTGAATGTTTAAGTAGAAAATGTTATTACAATAATAAACACACTTCCATTCATCTCCCTAAAAATACTCACTTTATCCCATCTTTCTTGTCACTTTCTGAAGCAGTTCTGGAAGTCCTCTTTCATGAGTGTCTTTAGGAACTGTGATAAAAAATCAGTGACTTGTGCTGATGACAGTGGAAAGGAAGGTTCATAAAAAGGTTAGGTCGTAACCTCACCCACTTTATTCACTGGATCTGACACCATGTTACTTATGGTTCTTTCACAAAGTCAGAATCACCATTAAAGGTACATGTTTTGAATAGATTCAGGACTTTGAGGCAGCTACAATAGTACAACTATAGACAGAAAGGAGGACTTCCAGAACCCTTCAGAAAGTGGCAATAACAAAGTGTGTCTGAAACAAAGGGAAGTATTTTGAGGGAAGCTAATGCCAAGGTGTCTTTTACTGTAGAAAGTTTTTAAAAATTAAACATTCAACTTATTTTTCTATCACAAATCATTGATTTTTGTTATTTATAATAGCTATGTCTACAGTTGTGGTAAATATCCTCTTCATCAGAACATTTTTATTACCCTTACTTCATGTGTGGCTTGCTGTTTAAAAGTCACCTTTTGAGTATGGAGATCTTCACAATGAATTACTTATATTTTATGTATATATCAGCCAGAAAGAACTTAATATTTTCCTAGTCCTGGGTAATTGTATTGTAAATTTCTTAGGCTTCTGCTTCATAACAATGCTGAAAACTATGCTTTCTAAAAATTTGCCATCCTATGAAACCACAATTTTATCTGCTTTTCCAAATTTTTACAGCTATACCACACACTATCAACATTTTATTAACACTTTTCAGAGTGGCTCCACCTACAGATAGGCAGTCTCTTCTTTTAGATGTATCCTGCCTGGGCACAGTGACATTGAACTTGCATCAGAGGGCAGGAGGACACAAGCGTGAAAGAAGCATATCTGTCACTGTATATTTTCTGTAAAGCACCTCAAAGCCCTTTGTGCTCAGGAGCACAACATTTGTCTTACTACCCTTGTGAGAGATTTTAAACAGAGAAATCACTAACAAAAAACCAAAATTAAAAAAAAATACAAGGCAGTAAATAAATAACAAAGAACACAATTGTTATTTTGGAGTGAAAGTGGGAAGCAAAAGGACTCAGTACTTCCTCACTGGACCTCAGGCAGGTACCCGGGTATCATGTGACTCAAGCTTCTCTGCTCTGTGAATACATGAGAAATGACCATTATCCTGTCACAAACACTGATGTCATGGTTACAAACACATTGTAATGAGTAAATGAACTCACAATGCAGAATTTGTAAACTTAGCTCTTTGATAAATGGTTATTTAGCTTTGAGGAGTTACTGAACTCATTGCTGAAGGAGCACAAACTGAGACATGGCTCCCAATTTGAGAGAAATAAAAGATCAAGACAAGGGTCAAATCCTGCTGCAATAGGCTGGCAGTATAGAACATGATCTGGATGCAACTGCTGTAAATAGGTAGGCCGTGCAGTCTAGAGAGGACTGCCCTGGGAGCCAGCAAGAGCAGCAGCTCATGTGAAGGAAGACTCAAGGCAGATGACAGGGAGCTAGGGCTTGCCATCTGCAGTGGGTTCTGGGGGCCAGTGGTACTAGTCCTAAAAAAGGGTGGAAATTTCAAAACAGTGAGGACAACATGAACAAAGAGACAGAGACATCCTGTGCAGGGCTAATTTCAGGAACTTCCAAGGGCCTACTCTTGAAGTAATGCCTCTAGATAAAGACAAAAGAGAGGGCCACATGGTGAGGCATGTTTTCTACATATCTGGTATGTTGTTGGCATTCAAGTATTTTTTAGAGAATTGATTCAGCAGAGGCAAGGGTATTTGTCTTCTAAGCAAGGTCAGGTTTTTAAGAGAGGAAATGATATACTCTAACTTGTGTTTAGAAGGGTGAATCTAGTGACACCAGAGGGCATGGGAGTATGGTGGGAAAGTGGAGGTAAAAAATAGTAAAAGTCCAGAAGACTTGGAAGGCCCAAGTTGGGTAACGTCTTGGTTACTTTCCTCTCTTTGCTGGGGCAAAATACCTAATGCTCAAAATTAAGGAAGGAAAGGTTTATTTCGCTTACAATTTGTGGAGGTTTCAGTCCATACTTGGCTGGCTCCAAGGTAGAGTGGCACATGGCAGAGGGCTACAGTTCATGGCGGCAGAACACAACAAAGCAACAACAGCAAAAGGAAGGAAAGGCAGCAAGCAGCCTCTTCCTCTCCCATACATATGCAAACTACCCACCCCAGGGCAGTGGAGCACTCACAAAGGTGAATCAAAACTCTAACAGCCTGCCCCACGACTGCATGAGGATTTGGGGAGACATGAAGATGCAAACCTTAAAAGGCAACCATGAGTGAGCATTGATGTCAGCCACCATGAAAATGAGAGAGATTGCAGCTGTCCATACAGGGACTCTGGTAGCTCCCTCTTGAGGCTATGCACATCATTTGCTTGGGTCAGAAAAGTCAGTGATTTTCTTTCTTTTTTCAGAGTCTACACCTTATCTGTCAACAAGTCCTCATCCTTAAAAGGCATCCCAGCCCTACCACTTTCTCCTCCCCACTACTTCAGCCCTTGTAAAATCCACAAGGATACTTTAAGTGGGTTACTGCAGTGCTGTGGCCTCCCAGAGGGCCTCTCTGTGTCTGCCTTGTCTCATCCATCCCATCCAGTCCACATAGCAGTCAGAGACATTTGTGAAATCTAAGATCATGTAACTGCTCTTTTCAAGGCCCTCTGAACTCACTCACCTCATGCTGGATCACAATCCAAGTCCATCCAGTGACCACCACCCACCCTCCTCCATGACCTCCTCAGTCTCCATCCTTCTCCCTCTGCCTCCTGTCCAAACACACGGGTCCTCTGCATCAGGCCTTTGCAGCTGCTGTTTCCTCCACTAGGAATATTCTTCCTGACAGCTGGTTCTTTCCCTTGTTCACAAGTGAACTAAGGTCTCACCCCCTCAGCAAGTTATCCACTGACTCTGCTGTTTACACTCACACCAATGCCCAGCTCTGTCCTATTTCTTTCTTTTCTCCCTTCACTCTGATCATCTCAAACACACCATGCAGTTTACTTACTGTTTTTTCTGATTCACTCTTCTCCCAGTTTAATGGAAAAATTCAAACTGTGAGGATTCTTTTACCATTTCACTGTTATATCCCAGCTGTTAAATTGTCTTGGCCCATAGTTAAACTTATTAAATCTTTGCTGTATGACTGAATAGAAATTATTTCATCCTTTTTTTTTTTTTTGGTTTTTCTCCGGTACTGGGAACCGAACTCATGACCTTGTGCTTGCCAGGCAGGCGCTTTTGCCACTGAGCTAAATCCCCAGCCCCTATTATTCCATCCTTACAAAACCTTTAAGGGAAGTGCTAAGATATCCAGGGTGGAGGCAGAGAGAATAGAATTGTAAGACACAATATAGCCAATGTCACCAACCCGTGGAAACTGTTGAGAAGTAGGAGTTAGAAGAAAAAGATGGGTTTCCTAGGTGCTGGGACGAGGGTGGCATTCTCAGCGCTGAGATCCTTGGTTCCATCCCTGTATTTCCCCAAGAGACTTGCCCTCCTCGTTGAAGGTTCCTGAGCCCCCTATCCAGTTATCTCTGCCTCCTTAGCTCCTTAGAGTGGAAGGTTCTAGTCTCCTTCCACTGGACCATTTTGGGAGGCAGTAATAGGAAAAAGACAGAGAGAGAAAGAGAGAGAGAGAGAGAAAGGAAAAAAGAGATAGAGAGAGTAGAGGAGCACTGGGCTGGGAGTTAAGGTGTGAATTCCAACCTTACCTCTGGTTCTCCTGGCTGTGTCACTTTGATAACTTACATCCTCTGATCGGGCCCCAGCAATGTACAAACAAGGAGTGACTATCATTTTACAAAGAAATCATTCACTTCTAGTGAATAGATGCTTAAAGATGTTTATATTCAAACTGTGCAATCAGTAAAGCAAAAGTCCTTACCTCTCTGGGGTCTCCAAAAAGATCCACACTAAAAAAATTCTGTGAAGAGAAAGACAGAAGCTTTGGTGAGTAGCCTTCCTGCGATTAAAGATGATCCTTTGAGCTATGTCTGCTAGGTATCAGATTCTTCCTCTGGTGCCTTCGTGGCTGGCTCCAAAGGAACGGTACAATACAGGGCTCTGCTGGGCTTGAGCACAAGGTGGAAGAGTAGGACAGGGAGTGTCAGGCACCAGCAAGAGAAAGTCAGGCTCTGAAACCTAGAGTTGGAGATGAAGTCTCCTGTTGGTGTCTGCCTTCCTCTTCAACCTTTCTCCTAATATTATCTGCCTGGCACCAATACCCCAAATTTCATCTTAGAGAAATGTTGAAATGAGGTTCCTGCAGTGGTGACAATGCCATATCTTCGAGGGGAGAGGGGCTGGATGTTTATTGGACCTGCAAAAGATGGTATTCCAATCATCCTATGACCTCACCTCCATTCCCTCTTCCCCACATCCACTTCATGAATTCAAGCATCTAAGACATTAGTTCAAAGATGGATCCATGCTAGTGTTGGTCCAAAAGTCTCCATGCCAAAACCCATTGCTAAAATTGTTAAGATATATATAATTTCTAAGCAGATAGAGTATAAGTATGCAGCATTGCTCAGGTGACAGATCTGATCGAGAGAGAGGCTAACAAAACAAAGGGAAAATGAGGGATATAGGCAGGTAGACTCTCAGTAAAATCTTCAGAGCATCCAGATCCACAAATGGCCTAACCCATATGCTCTTGAACTTTTCAGTTACCCAAAGGCTCTGTTCTAACACATTCCCTTTTCTCTTTAAGACACTTTGAGTTCTCTCATCCTGAATTACAAAACCCTGGCATTTCAAAGCTCAGTGAAAATCAGTCCAACCAACGCATTTCTTTGTTGTGCATGTATCAAGAGTGCAGTGATTGCATTGTGCCACTTTGCATCACAGTTCTGACTTGAAAGAGGGAAACAATCACTACCGATGCCATTTATTATGAGTTGTAACATAACTTGTGAGGGGGTTGTTCTCTGTGTGTCTATGTGTGTATGTGGGGGCATTGGATAATCACGGAAACACTTCCACAAAAACTCAGAAAAATATCAAAGTATGCTCTGGTGTTTTAGGTTCTCTGGATTTTCCCAAAGTCATCTATAATTTCCATATAAGGTGCATTCTCTTGTTACACATGCAGAAGGACTAAAATATTTGTATCTTTCCAGGTATTAGAAAACAGCTGTGCATGAATACTTTGATCAGCTCGTTTTATTTGAGCCTGGTGAACCAAGACTGAAACCCAAAACCCACAATGCATGGACATGCAGGAAACAGTGATAGAAACTTGCTCTGAAGGTCCAGCAGTATTGTCCAGTATCCAAACAGAGAGCCTGGGGTCTCATGTGACTACCTCCCCCTAGAAAGTAATTCCCATGGGCCCTGGATGATCTTTCCTCTGGATGTTTGTCCTGCTAAGCTTTCCTCTGATGAAAGTCTGCCATGGCTATCCATCAGTCCTTGAGTGTTACCTTTCCTGAGAAGCACCCCTACTGGTGATAATGAAAATGTCCCTTCTGAGCTCTCCATCACATTTGTCCTACACAATGATTGTTTCTCTTTGGATTATCCCTTGTGTGCAGATATAATGTTCAATTCATATCTGCATCCCTTCTATTGACACCAACATTGCATTGACTTGTGGATTTATGGATGAATGCATTGGTAGGTGGATGGAAGGATGGACAGGGAGTTGGATGGATTGATGGAGTATATCAATACACACATTATTGGTGAGTTGAGTGGACACGAGGATAGAAATAAAAAGAACAGCTAACAGATGGTGAAGGATTATGTTTTTTGTAAGACTGTGCAAAGTACAGATAGATGTAGACTGGATGACTCATGAATCATGATGGATTGAAAATAGATGAATAAAACATTATCTAGGGATTGAGAGATTAATGAAAGAATATCAGTGATTGTGATGGATGGATTACAAATGAGTAAATGGGGAAATAGAGGGCTACCCTGAAACCTAACTGAGGCAGAGTGCTGGAAATTCTGGGCTACTGCTATGTTAAAATATCTTTTCTAAATCAATCAAAGTAAATTGTAACACATTTCTGAAAAACTTTGTACTTAGTAGTTTCAACTCAAAAATTCAAGATGGTAGCAACTTCTGAGAATATTAAATCTTTTTTTTTCTTCAAATACACCTGAAAACAAGAGTAACAAAATGTAAAGTTTTGAAAGAGCTAGGAGAGTGTTATACAATTTTTCATCATACTAGTACTGGTACTTTAACACTTGAGGAATTTCACAATAAAAATGAAACAATGAAATTCTCAATTTAGATCAAGAGACTGATGCTGCCCAGGAGAGGTGAGAAACTTTCCAGGTGGTTTGTGCAGGGTGAGAGGGCCTGAATTGTTGAATCCAGGGACCAAGTGTACAGGCAGAGGTCCACTGGAATGGATGCACCTACCATTTTCAGAGTTGTCTCCAAGAGCTCATCTTCTGTCTTCTGCCGCAGGCAATGGACCATGATAGCTGATGTGATGGTTTTGCACCCAGCAGTAACAGCAATTTTCTGCAGAGATCACAGACAAAAGCAGTCTATTCTTTTTATCAATGTAGACAGAAAGATTCTCTTCCAAGTCCAATTTCTGAATGCTTTGGGGCAACCAAATGTACTCTACACTAGCAGGTGTGAGTTCTGGGTCCCATGCAATGTTACCCTCGTTACTAGCTACAATTGTGACATTATCCAGATACATATTTGTGTCTCCATTATCTTATCTCCATTATCTTATCTCCATTATCTTATCTCTATTAAAATGAATGCAGTGTTCTCAAAGCTGAATATCTCAAGAAAGTCTGTGTGGACTGGTGGTGAAGGGTGTAGATACTAGAATTCCTCTGGTTGCAATTCCATATCTTTTCCTTGCAATTTGACCTTGGTTTCCCCTCCTACACATAAAAGCAATGATTGTATCTATACTGTAAGGAGAGTTAATATATGTGACATACTTAGGAGGGCACCATATCTCCTACATACCAAAACTTATTCTAAACTACAGGAAGAGTGGATAAGATGATCCACACTAAGACTTTCAAAACGAATAGGATGTGCTTTAAAGAGATCCTTAAAGGAGCCCTTACTGCTCATTCATTCTAACTTCAGTAATCCTTTGAGCAGCTCAGCAGATTCCCACTACAGGAAAGACCCCTGGTGATTCATGAGAAAAGAAGGAAGGAGAGCTGTGCAAGGTGAGACCTACCTCAGCCAAAGGCTTGATGTCCTTCTTGAACAGAGCAGCAGTGAGGGCCACACCACTCTCAGAAATGGCCCTGTGGAAGAGGTTTTTGGCCATGGGAGATAGCACCTGGCGGGGGAGTGGAGAAGAGAAGTGTTTATGCTCACAAAGTGGGGGTCAGTGACTGATTTGCTCCTAGGGTTCTCTCCACTTGCTCCTCTGCTGTGGCCACTCACATGGAGACTCTGATGTTCTGCGGATCCCACAGCTCTGCACCTGTCTCTCTTGTTTCCCAGGATCCCCTGTAGAACCCAGCTTCCCAAAGAGAAGCTCAGCAGGAAGGAAGCAGAGCTTAGGGTGCTCTAGGGTAGAATCAAGGATAGAGCAGGAAGTGCATATCGTATGCTTTCATAACAGTCAAAAGGATTAGAAGACAGCTTGGCAATTCCCCACAAAAATGCTGTCTCAGCATTTCTATTCTTCGAGTGTGTTGTAAGAAAAATGGTCATAAAAGGTGAGTTGTGTAACTTCATGGTGAAGCTCTTGCCTGGCATGTCTGAGATCTGGGTTTGATCCCAGGATTACTTGAAAAAATAAGAAAGAAAAAGTAAAAATATATAAGAAGATCTTGAGGCACACAAATATTTAAGAATGTTCAGGTTGTTTATAATAGTAAATGTTGGAAAAACTCAAAGTTATAATGAGATTGGGTAAATAAATGATTTTACATCCTTTGGAATACTATTCAGTTATAAAAGTCAGCATACCTTAAGAGCATTTAATGTTTTAGTGTTTAGAGGAACATTTATGCTATATTGTAATATTAACAAAATGATTCTCTTGTAAAAAAAAATACAACCTAATATAGATATATGACAGAGAGAAAGGATAGATGAACAGATGCCCGGTAGGTTAGATGGTGAAAGGGAAGAGATGAGACAGGGAAGGAAGGAGAAAGAGAGGAGAGAAAGAGAAAGAGAGAGAGAGAACTGTGACAAAATGCAAAATACTAGAGAAATACATATCAAGATATAGTAACTTAACTCTGGGTAGTGAAAAATGTATTACTTTTTTCCTTTTTGTGTTTATCTATACTTTTCCTTTTAATCTACATTTAAAAATACCAGAAAGGAAACTGCTCAAAAGGAAATAACAACTGGGATGAGGGAAAAGAGAAAAGAAAGAAGAGGAAAAATATGTATATGTGTATACACAGGATAACTAACTTAGTTGTACTACTGACATTTACTGCTGTATTGAAAGGAACAGTTAATGTTTAAGTGTATGATCAATCTTATGTGTCTATATTTGTTTATTTGGGTATCCAAATTGAAGATATCAATATGTAATACAACAACCTTTGTTAATTTCCTATCACCTTGTCTGAGATTCTGTATTGCTTGTATTGTTTTTGTGTTATTTTCTAAATGTATGTGTGTTTGTTAAGATGTTCTCATTCTTTTATCTTTAAAATAAAAAAGAATAAGAAATACAAGAAAATGTTTGAAAAATATAATAACAGTGCTGATCCTCTGCTCACCTGTACCTTAACTGTAAGTTTTCTTAAAGCTACCAGAACATTCTATGACTTCCCACAGTGTCCCCTAGGGTGCATTCACCACACTCGCAAGACATCTGATGCCCAGCAAGTACTCTGACCCATCTATTTATCTCTCCTTTCACCATATCTGTGTCTATCTATATCTCTCCTTTCACTTATCCATCTCCCCAGCCCACTTTGTCCCTCAGTCTTGGAGACTGCTGCCCATTCCCTTCTTGGACATGGAAAAGCTATCAGAATACCTCAGAAAATACCCCTGCCTGCTCCCAGAGCTCAAGTCCCTTTAATATGGGGAACTGGTTTTGGAGCAAAGTAATGACACTTTAGACAACACATGTCCTGTCTTCCTATTTGTAGTCTGTAACCACCTCTACCTCCCAAGAGACACAGGTGAACACTCATGAGAAAGAAAGAGAACACAGCCAAGTGTGAACAGGAGGAATTTGCTGCTGCAGCCTGAGCTGGAGACTCTTATGGCCCCAGGACATTAAGTTGAACCCTGGGGCCAAGAAGAGTTTGGTCCCAGGTTCTCCACAGTCTGATGCTGTGCAGTGGGTAGAGGCAAATACAATCCATGCTGTAAGCAAAAGTGGTCATGGCTAGATTAGGTGGTCCACAAGAGGTTCCATCAGAACCATGGCAAACCCTGAGGTGGGACTTAGAGTTAGGAGCACTTACAAGAACAGAGACACTTTCACCACCTGCTGATTCTCCAAAGATGGTCACAGAGCCTGGGTTCCCTCCAAAGTTGGCGATGTTGTCCTGCACCCAGCGCAGTGCTGCCACCTGGTCCAAGTGACCCCAGTTCCCTCGGCCGTATTCATCCCCTGTGCTGCAAGAGAAGAGCGGAGGAAGAAGGCAGAGATGTCATAGCAGGGCTCTCAGGATCACAGATTGGCCTAGGCCTCTCAGCAAACCTTCCAGACTAGGCTGAGCTGTGCATTGCAAACAAAGTGATCTTTACCTGCCTCTCAGTCATGTAACTGAGTTTTACAGAGGGCTTCACATTCATTTTTCCAGCACTCATGGCCTGATCATCTGCTATGTATCCCACATGGCCTGAGAGTGAAAGCACATCTGGGAGGGAAACAGGAGGTCTTTCACTGCTCAGCTCACACAGTAGACCAGAAACAAACAGGTGAAAAGAAACTATACTCTAAGATAGTAAAAGTGGTTTGAACCAAGGGTGCTCAAAGTAAAAAAATAAAGAAAAAAAGGTAAGGATGGGTTTTGGGGTGATAGTTCTGATCTCATGACATGGGAAGGGAAAGATTTTTCATGTTACTGGCCTTTGTTAGATACAAGAATGAAAATGAGCACATAGGTCTTGTAAAGAACCAATGAAGGGAATTCTGGTTAAGAGAAGCAGCAGGTACATGGGCTTCAGGGCAAGGAAGACAAAAATGCGAATGTATCTAGTATGACATGCAGATGGAGATGATGTTGTGAGTGGAGACAAGGACTTTCATGTCACTTAAGTGACATGGGAACCCTCTGCAGAGGCATGACTTGATATCATTTATGTCTCACCTGATCACTCTGACTATGGTGTGGAACAACTGCCATATAAAAGGAGCAGGTTTATAAGAACAAGAGGTTATAACAGTGATCAAAGTAGATCTATGGGGCCTTGATTAGAGTGGAAGTCAGGAATGGGTGAAGTGAGAATCTCATTGGAACAGGAAGACAGTCTTTGGTGAGGGAAGGGTGTTGGGTACAAAGGCTCAGCTTGTCTCTCTGAAGTGGAAGGGACCCTACAGACATCCAGGGGAAACTAAAGGATATAAATCTGGGCACCTGGGACTCAAAGGAGAGGTAAGTGATTCTTACAGGCACCTGTGAAAGTGCTTCCTGGAAAACACAACATATGAATACTGGAGGGGGAAAGGTAGAGGCCTAAGGATAGAGGAAGAGTTAAGGGCTAAGAAAGAGCAGTTAGGAGGTGGCCAGGGCCAGGAGATAGGACTATTTCTAAGAGGCTCGAGTGGCTGTGGCAGGTGCTGAGAGGAGTCATAAGGTTGAGCTTGTTGGGAGTGGCTGGAGCTGGAAATTGGTAATACGTGTGAGGGTAGAACAGATCCAGAGTGCCTCAAGTAGTCAAGCTACCTCAGTCTTGAGAAACACATCCTGCCTAGACAATTTCAGTTGTTAGTTGCTAGGCAACATAGGCTTTCATGATACTAACTTTGCAAGGTTATAAGTAAATGCCCCTACTATTGTTGTTCAGTCTTCCTGCCCGTCGGGTAAAAGGCCACTCCACCTGACCCCAGCTTTTGTCTCTTATCTTTATTTTCTAAATCTCCTTCTGTTTTCTCCTGGGGACCACTGACAGACCACCAAGTTCTGCAGGGCTAAGCACTGATACAGGTAATTGTTGGCCTCAATAAAAACAGCCTGGCAGCCTAGTCAGCTGAAAACCTGCCTGCAGAAGCCCTCACTGCACCCAGTGAGACATCCCTTCCTTCCTTCTCCTGAGAAAATGTGCAACCATCAACTGCTCTGATGCATGCTGAGTCTCATCAGAGAGGACCACAGTGTATTGGGGCAACACATGTGAAAGGAAATGAATACTTAGATTCAGTAACATAAGGGCTGGATCTCGAAGGATGAATAGGAGGTTGACAGGCAGGGTAGGCATTCCAGGCAGTGGGAACAGCATGCATAAAAGCTCAGAACCATGTATACAAGGGTGGTTGGGGGATGAGAAGTTAGGTTGGGTCCAGTAATGAAGGTACCCTGATGCATTATGAAGGGCTATAAGAAAGGTGTCATGGGCACTGACATGAGAAGGGTGGTCTTGTAGTGGGCCGTGTGTCTTTGTTATGGTGCCTGATATGTTTGGGGGTAGTTTCTCCCTTAAAGGTTCATGTGCTAGAACCTTGGTTACTGACACAGAAATTTTAACCAATAAGAGAACCTAGTGAAAGCTGAATGAGAGGGTGCTGTCCTCACAGGGATTTGGGTAGTGCTCATGGGCCTGTGGTTCGTTCTCCAAAGAGTAAGTTGTTATAAAAATAGTAAAATCTCTCCACTATTCTGTTTTTCCTTTCTGCTCGTGTGATCTCTTCTGCACCATGTGGATTCTCTTTGTGTTTCTCTACCATGCTGCAGTGTAACCAAGGAGTCCTCACCAGGCTGATCTGTTAAGACTTTCAAATCTTGGATTTGTGCCTTCTCAAATTCTGACCTAAATAAATCTGTTTTCTTTAGAATTTCCCAACCTCAAGCACTTTGTTATATAAACAGAAAGTAGATCAGCAAATGAGCCAATATCAGGAAGGATAGGTCAGGGTCTTACCTAAAGAACCCCCAGATTCCCAGCCGGTACTGAATAGTCACCACCACTACATTTTCATGGACTGAGAGAGGCACTCCATCGTAGGTTGATGCTCCGCCCACCACAAGACCACCTCCATGGATCCAGACCATGACCTGGAGAAGGAGGACACAGCCACATCCCTTACAGTGAGCAGAATTGGAAAGGTCCTCAGAGGTTGCATTAATTAGTTACTTGTATCTTGGCTGCAATTCAAGGAGGCAATTACTTAGTTCACTAGTGCTCAGGAAGGTTGGAAAGACAGTCTCTTTCCTCCCCAACTCTCCTGGCTGGGGCCTAGATCACAAAAGCACTCAGTGCTTACTAGCTACCCCTGCATTTCTTCTCAGACCCATGTGCCACATGCTCCCAAGGCTCTTTAAGCTGAAAAAAAATCACAGTGGAAATAGAAAAGGCCAAGGGTGTTGTGTTCTCACCGTTCCACCATTCAGCCTTTGAATTTACCCCTCACCTCACATAACATTTTAATGGTGAATTCAACTTCCTTGTACATAAATGGTTGTCTCAAGAAGCATATGTCCCCTCAGGGGAGTCTCTTCCTGAAGTGCTTCCTCTCTTCTTCCTCTGCAGGCAAAGACCTCTCACCCTTTTGAGTCCAGCTCATATCCTCCTCTTCCAAGAAGCCTTTGCTTATTTGAATGACACTGTATGAGAACGTATTTTTTGCTAGAAACTATGGTAAGAATTGAAGGTGAGAGAGGACACAATTCATACTTCATGATTTTTGGGTAGAAGGAGCTCATGGTGCAGGGGAAAATAACTAGAGTATATAAAATAATATTGTAATAATATTGCTAATCAAAAGGCATAAAATGAAATATGCACCAAGAGATCTTGTATGTACATTACACTAACCTATCCATAAGGTAAGTACTAATATTGTTCTATTTCACAGTTTATGTGCACATGATTTTATAGCTATTAATAACCACCACCAGGACTTGAATCACGCTGTCTGGCTCCAGAGTAATCAACTGCCCAGTCCGTGCTGCCCATGAGTACAATGCTGTAGCTAGGCTGATAGGGCAGGAGGAAGATCTTCCTACAACTCTAACTAGTGTGACATCAGTTGTGTGGTCTGCAGGGCTGAGATAAAGCTTGACAGTCATCATTGAATACTCATATGTGATAAATCCCATTTAAGGAAACAAGCCGAGAGAAGTATAGAAATTTCCCAGGGCTCTCAGTCAAAGATAGACCCAGGATTTAAACCCAGACCCTGTAGTTCTGAAGCTTGTGCTCATAGCTACAGGATCTCCTACCTACAGGCTGTGAAAGCCTTGCTTTTTCCTCCACCACTGATCTTTGCCAGTGTGCATGGGATAGATTGAGTCAAGATCATCTGTAACTGAAGGCTGAGCTCAAGGGCTTGTAAGGAATGATAGGCTGAGAAGGTAGAATGTGTCCATTGAACCTAGGTAGCAACCCCTTAAAGGCAAGAGCTGCATGGTCATGGTTTCCAGTTCCTCTTTCCCTAGTCCCCAAGTCCTACTGTGTATATGAGGACTTTTAGTACATAGTAGAAGAATGGATGAATGAGTGATGATTGCAGGGAATTTTTGTTCTCTCCTCCTTATGCTTTACAAAACATGCATAAGACCAACTTCCAGTCCCAGGTGTACATCCTCCTTTATTCCTGGGCTCCATGGCAGAATGCTCCTGGGAGACTGGCTGGGTGCTGATACCCTCCCTCTTCCATTCTAGGACTGCCTGTTTTCCAGAATGCTCTCCCCAGCCCTCACCTATGGCCCTTCACTTATTTGGGAAACGCTGACTCACCGAAGCACCAACCTGTGCCAAAGGTAGTTAGGGAGGGAAATGAGTTAAACTATAACTACACATGGTTAGCCAAGTCAAGGAAACTGCTTCTGGGATTGCCCCAAGCTCTGTTATGGAACAGAGAAAGTTTTCACAGGATAAAGAACATTGCTCAATGTGTTGGACATAGGAAAGTGCATCCTGTGCCGTTTCCCAGTCTGTGTAAAAAAAGCCCGGTTTAAAGACCACACACCTAAGATCTTGTATTGCCAACCCTACTGTGGGGCCTCCTTTCCCCCATCTGAACCTCACTGTGTTTTTCTGTAAATATCCTTCTTCCTCTTAGATTGCTTCAGCTCAAATTATGTCTTAGATGTTGCAAGGGTGAGGTTCTTAATTTAGTAGCTAAGAGTAATTGTTCTTGTCCTTCTGTCAATATGAGAGATCTTGAAAACAATTAAAGTATGCATTCCAGTTGGACAGCACTCTCCCGTGATGCCTGAGGTCTCCAAGTGAGAACGTGTTTTCTGTGGTGAAAGGAACTTCTGGATCTCTGAGTCAGTCCTGACTTCTAGTGACCCCTCAGCAAGCTGCTTTCATGCCTTCCATGCTGCCCCTGTGCTGGGTGATCCTGGGTGTTAGAACCAGGAAACCCTGAGCAATGGTCCCAAGCTTACTGGCAGGCTACTTTTCTTTGTCAAGTCAGCAGGAGTGTAAACATTTAGGTACAGACAGTCTTCAGAAAACTTGAGAGGAATGTCCTCCTTTCTGTTGGTAAACAGCTGTGAGAGCACCTGGCCCGCTACTGCATCTTGGGAACACCTGGGAGAGGAGAAAGAACATCTCAGTTTCAACTAGGTGGATGCTACAAATGTCCCCTGTGGAAAGTTTAAGCCTGTAAGTGGAGTTGGTATCATGGTACTGGGGTCATTGCAATGTGTAGGAGGCTATTTGAGGGCCTGGGTAGGAATCCTGCAACTCTTTAGGCTTTCTCCATAGCATGTAGAGTGAGAAAGTTCTGGCACCCCCACCTTGTTCCTGGGCCAAGGACAGGAGCTAACCCCTTGCTGATCTGTCTTAGATGATGACATTTCTTGCCCTCCTGGAATCTACTGGGCTGCACGGTGACCAAGTTCCCTACCAGATAAACATGTTCTAATGCACAGAAGGCTTCCTTCAACAATAAAAATCCCTCAAATTGCAGACAGTTCCAGGAGGTCAGGCAAGTCATCTTCATGGGACAACCTCAGCAGAACTGCATTCCAGGCCTGTCTTGACACTGATATGCTGGGTGACTTTTAGTGAATTCCTTTCCAGCTATGGGACGCAATCTCCCAGGATTAAATGAAGGGTGTAGTTTTCTAAGGGTCTTGCACATTCTTTCGTGAACTTGTTTCAGGAAATTGCTCTCTGCTGCCCTAAGGTTTTGAAAACCCAACACAGATTAGAATTGCTAACCTGTACTGAGTTTTCCCTGTATGCCAGGCACTAATTTAAGATTTCCCTATTAACTAACTCATATAAGCATCAGATCAGCCCTAGGCATGGGTTCTATTATTATTTTCACTTTATAGATGAGAAAACTGAGGCATAGAAAGTTTAGATAACCTGCCCAAGGTCCTGGCTAGGAAGATCCATGGTGCTTATAATTCCAAATATATTACAAGCAACACTTTCAGAGCTCAGTGGACCCACAAGCTAGAATCACTCTTTCTAGGTTACAGAAGAGATAACTTAGGCTCTGAGGTTCCAGGATGACCCAGCTGTCAAGTAGCAGGATCTGAGACAGCAAAGATGAGCTCCAGATTGGAAATATATTAACCTAGATCATCAAACAGAAGGAATATAGTATTCATAAAAGTAAAAATTCAAATATAAAAATGTTCAACTTCACTAATATTTACATAAATGCAAAATAAGAACTAAAATTGTGATTATAATTGTTAAAACTTTTATGTTATATAATTATCATTATGTTATTATTTAATTTACCCCATAACTAAAAGTAATTTTTTCATAAACCTATGCATTGGGGAGGGAAATTTGATTAGAGGTTGTATCAATGGAAAGACTGTACATAGTCAAAATATTTCTGGAGAGAAATTCACAAAATTTGCCTAAGAAATATTATTTATTGAAATTTATCCTAGCTATTCATGATTATTTATAATGATTTCCTTATGTGTTAACCATAATTTTATTTACAGTGTCAAAAGGATCAAAAACTTAATCCCAAATAAGAGATTAAGCAGATTATATTTCAGTACTGAATTGAATGTAGCTAGTAAATGTCAGAGTTTAATAACCATTAACATAGAATAGTTTTCATGTTATACTTATATATGAACTAGGCAATGATCCAAACTGCATGTTTGATCCATTTCCAAAGAAAGTATGCAACAGATAAAAGACTAGAAAACATCATTTCAAACAGTAGCACCAGTTCTTTCTGGGTGGTAGAATTGAACATGACTTTAGTTTTCTTATCTTTATTTCACTGTATTTCTGAATTTTTCAGAGATATATATGTATTATATTTGCAATCAGGAAATAAAATAGTAGATATTATTTTTTTAAAGAAAGGAAAGGAGGCAGCCAGGAGGATCTGGCAAATCCTCAGAAGGCCTTCCTCAGGAAAAGACTGAGGAAATGAATAAGACATGACTTAATGGTGTAGACGTCTGAGGTGCTCAGGAGGAAGCTGTGAAGGCAAAAGAAAAAGTGGGGCTTTCTGCCAGCTGACCCAGCTAAATGGAGCTCACTAACCTTTGTTGCACCCATATCTAGATATGTAGACACACCTGGGAGTGAAAGATGCCAAGTTAGTGAACCCTTCAATGCATTCACAGACCTTTATTAACATTACTACCCAGCCTTGCCAAGATCAGGATAGAGAAGAGGTAGAATCACTACTTTTCTCTTTTATCTGACCAATCTTTCTCTGAACCACAGTGATATTTTAGCATATTGCCTAGTTCATTTATTACTTTGCATATTGTTTATTTTCCCCATCTCCCTCCTATAATGTATGCTCTATGTAAGTAGGAACATTTATTTTTATTTTTGTGCACTGAGATTCTCTGAACCTAAAACATGTCTGGCACATGATAAGCGCTTAGTAAATATGTGCTAAACGAAGAGCTGTGGAAAACTATGACAGATCTAGAATGTCTCCAAAGTTCTACAGTGTTCTTGAGGATTTAAGCCAACCAGAGAATTGCCTTGACTTCTCCTGCATTCCTCTGAGACAGACATCCCCCCTGAAAGGAGCCAAAACTTACATGGGAGGGTAAGAGGTGGTGTTCTTCACAAAGCTCCATGGCTCTGCAGGCTGTGGAGGAGAAAACCTCAGCAATCCCAGAGGGGGTTTGGCGAAAGGGACTCCCAGGAAGACCGCCACAGGCTGTGCAAATCCTTCCAGGCTGACATACTTCCCCAGGACTTTGCCATGCACAGTGTCCACCACAGGTGGTGAGGATGGGTGCCCTGCTGGACGTAGAGAGGAAACAAAGAAAAGTGACACCTGTGGGTTTTGCCAGTTTCTAGGCATGTGTCCTTGAATAAGTCACCCAAACGGACTAAATCTCAGTTCCGTCTCATGTAAAATAAGGTGAGGAAAATTGTCCTTCTTAACTCAAAAAGATGATGGAAGAAATAAATTGAGACTGCAGATCGAAAAGCATTCAGGCAAAACTCAATGCAAAAAAGAAGAGCTTCTGTGAATGAACAAGATATTTAGTTTCCTTCTTAGAATCTTCTGGAAGCATGTGTCCATTAAGATGCAAGAACTGAGCTTCATGCTGCATGAGAGGATGAACAAAATGTGACCTCTAGAGAAGGCTGAGCTTGTAAAAAGAAGGAGCCACAGACAAATGTGACTTAATTCCGGGAAGAAAAAGGCTATGTCCTGGAAGAGGGACCAGGAAGGTGCTACATTAGTTGGAAGATGGAGTCCTTCTGATGAAAGGATCGTGGAGAAGCTGGTACCTGCTGCAAGGGAGGAGTGAGTAAGGGAAGTAAAAAGGGAGTGGGGAATAATGCAAGAAAGTAGGACATGCAGAGGCTCAGAGACAGCAACACAATGCCCAGCTGGAATAGGTGAGTGACCCATGAACAGCACTAGATGGAGTCCATACAGAGTGGAAGATAAACCTGGAATGAGTGGGTGCTGTCACAGAGGTTGTCCTTTATTTAGTGGACAAATAAGCAACAAAAACAGTTATGAAATAAAAGACAACGTAAGGTTCTAGAATATTCTTTGCATGGTTCTCACAGGTCCATTCAGGGCAGCCCAGGGAGAAGAGAAAGTGCTCAGTGCTTCAAAAAGGTCAGGGAGGTAAAGTCTGAGCAGAAATGTCCAGGTGTAGCCTGGATTAGCTCAGTGATAACTTTCCAGTCAGATGAAATGGAGACAGCATGGGGTGAAAATGTGGATGATGTGGGTGGTTTAAGCAGAAATGTAATGACAATGGCAGTCACCACTTAGGTTGCATGAACATGCACATACTGAGCAGTTGATACCAGTTGCTCTTTCTAGCTTCTTAAACACCTCCAAAAATGCTTGACCAAGTCAATGCTAATAGTAACCACTTGTCTTTGTGCACCTGGTGCTTTGATCTGTGAGGCTCCACTCACTAGAGAAACTCTTACCCCTGGAGTCCAACTCACCCAGTGCCCACCCCGCTAACAACTCCTTCATTACTCTTTCATATTTTAGCCCACTCATCACCGACCTGAACCACCCAGAGCCAGGTTTGGGCAGCTAGGAAGACCCTGTGCTCTCAAATCTCAAAAAATAAGCCCACTCAGCCAATGCTAAGCCAGCTTCCTCTGCCTCCTGTCTGACTTAGAAATCACAGGAGAGATTCTTGCCCATGCGTGTACTTCCTTCCCTCTTCCTCTTTACTGACTGTGGTCCTTCCCCGTGTGTCTCCCATAACAAATTACCTTCTCAATGACGACTGGATCCTGCCCTGATTTTGCTATATCTCAAATTTCCTATTAATTCACTCCATTTAAAACTAATCCTTTTACTCGTCTCTTTTCCATACTTCCTCTAGACCAGGCATTACATATCATAAGCACCTCTTCAGACATTGAAATCATTTTACCTTCATCACAGTCCAAATTAACATCCTTTTTTGTTTATGTATTTATTTATTTATTTATTTAGTTTTTTGAGACAAGCTCCCACTATGTAGTATTTTGGCCTTGAGCCTTGTTCTCCCAGGCTGGCCTCACACTCACAGTGCTTCCCCGCCTCAGCCTCCCAAGTGCTACAATTACAGGTGTGCATCACCGTGGCTGGCCATATCTCTGTTTTAGATATAGGATAATTTACACACAACTAAATTAAATGAATTTCCCAAAAACATAGATTTTGGAAGCATATAACTTCGATTCCTGAACTGATGTTTTCATTCTGCTAAGAACCCTCTATGTTTGGGTCAAATCTGGACTAATAATGAAAAGAAGAATAAACTCTCTTAATTCTTCATATATAAAGGCATAAGGTTACCTCATTACTCTCTTGCACCAGAGGCCTGCAGCTGAGCTATCAAGCAGTTGTTCCTCCCATGTAACTTCAAACCAGTCAGAATACCTAGACTCAGCTGCTACAAGTCCAAGTCCAGCTAGTGAGCCACTGCAAAACTGCACCTTGTCATACCCTTGCTTTATACACTTCTCTGCCCACCTTCGAAGACCAGAATTCCCAAATTTACCTCCTCATATTTGTATTTCAGAAGGACTCACCCCAAACTGTGAAAGTGGTGAAAAAGCTGAAGGACAGAGCATGGACCCACATCTTGGAAGGATAGCAGCTCTGGGACCAGTGAGATCTCCAAGCTGCTCCCAGGGAGTGTGCTAGTTCCTCCCTCAGAGCTTGAGACCCACCTCCAAATCCTGCCCATCCAACCCAATTGCATAACCTAAAATAACAGAAATGTTTTACCTCTTAAAAACCTCCCTGGATGTCCACTGAGATCTCCAAGCCATGCCCAACCAGAGTTTACCCTGTGCTATTTGAATAGTCTGTATTCAACTCTCAGATTACACAGACCTGAAACTCATCCAGCAACTTCTTACATAAGAGTCTCTCTTGTAACATTCTAACCTCAGTGCACTGTGAGCTTCTGAAAGACAAGCACTAGCAGGCAGCCACCTTCAGGCCAGTAAACCTTTGATCTGGGGTCCTTAGAACAAGCCAGACAATTTTTGAGTGTCTCAGAGTCCCAAAGAAACTAATCCTGGAGATTAGAAAATGTCCTTTAACTTTCCTGGGCTGGTATTTCCTGGAGTTTTAAGTTCTAATGTTTGCAAGCAAAGTTCTATTCATCCAGTCCCTATCATGTGTAAATTAGCTTTATAATATTCCCACCATATGGCCCTGCCTGCAGCTACACACGTCTAAGGCCATAGTACTTGTTAATTTTCTGGGCAGGGGTCTTTGAACAGAATGTTCTTATAGTTAATGAACTCCATTTCTCTAAAATCCGTTGTTGTAATCATTGATCCATTTATCTATTCATTCTTCAGCTATTTACTAATACCTCATCCTGGACAGGAAAACTGCAAAAGACAAAACTGTGTGCTCCAACCTATGTTCTTCTTGAATTTAGTCTTTTCAGGTCATTAAGATACATTTTCCTTGTTTCAGAAGTGAAAGAGAAAAGTTACAACATAAATAAATCAGACATACAAGTTTAAATATCACATTGTTTCTTTTACATGAGAATCCCAAAGTATAAATATAGAGTAAATTAAAATATAATAAGAAATAGTGAAATAGATCTTTTGTGAAAGGGAAGGGGAACAAGATAGGGAGGGAGGGTAAAGAGGAGGAAGAGAAAGAGGATAAAAAGAGAATTAGGAAGTGTTCTGTCCACGTACCAACTCCCCATGGTGAATGTAATCATTATGTACTGCATTATGTACTAATGAAATTTTAAAAAATAAAGGTTATAACTTATTTAGCATTGGTTTCTAGTTTAACTCTTTGTTAACAAATTCCACAGGATCTCATCTCCGCTGTCCAGGAGCCACTGCTGTGCCCTGGGCCATGAACACGTGAAGACTGATGTTCATCTCTGACATCAGAGTCTAATGTTGTCATTAGTCAGAGTCTTATGTTGTGTTGGATGTAGTTTCATGAATCAGGTCAAAGACTGAGAGGAAAAAGACTTTATGCAAATATACTAATTTTCTTATATTACAATGAGAAGGTGATTAGATACTTTAGGTATTTGCAGTGATGGGAAAGTAGAAGGGGACTGTCAAATATGATATATGTTTGCATGAATAATGAGCCTGAAGTGATATGGCTCTTTAGGAAAATGAACTTCTAAAGTTTAAGAAGAGTAATTTTAAAAATCCTGGTTTTGTCATTGTGCATCTTCTTCTGACAATTTTGATACCACAAATACTATTTAAAAATTGTCAGGTCAAGATGGTAACTAAAGGGGCTGGGGATTTAGCTCAGTGGCACAGCACCTGTCTGGCAAGTGCAAGGTTGTGAGTTCGATTCCTGGTACCAGAAAAAGAAACAAAATAAAGAAAAAAGAAAAAGATGGTAACTAAGATCTTTTGGTGATCTCTTCCTACAAATATACCACTTCAGCACATGAGCTAAGGAAGTCACATGACAGAGCACAGGGCCTGCTTTAATTAAGAAAATGAATAGACATATTAAAGAAGGCAGGAGAGAAGGACTTGTCAGCATCATCCTCCCTTCAGCTCTACACACCCCCATGCAAGAGATACCTCCTGCTTGGGGAGGAGGTAGATAAATTCAAATTCATTGAGTTTCCTTAAAACAGTTGTTTATCTGATAATTCTCCCATATGGATTATTACTGGGTTAGTCTGATCCCTTTTTGGAGGTCTGGGTGAGGTTTTTTGAAAGCTCTTGATGCTTGTTGGAATGTGACATCATCTGAACATTGAAGGATCGGGTCTTTATTCAAATCTTCACAATCTGGCTTATTTTGCCCAACTATCCAGCATTTCTGATAAAACTGCTTATTTTTTTCTCTGAGTTTGTATCCCTTTCCACTAGTTCAGCACTAGATGATACACTGAGCAAGATGTGTTATCACTATTTCAATATCAGAGGGCAATCAAGCCTATATGTGTCCCAGATACACTAACTGTGTTCAGGCTTTAGTCTTCAAACCTCATATCAGATCTGCCACAGTAAAAGCCAGTGCTGGGCAAAGCTCCATGACTCCTACCACTAGGGCAAAACTTAGGGCAGTAGTCTCTGAAAATGCATTGAACAGGTGGCAGACTGCCTCTGCTGATTCTCCAACCTTGGGTGATAGTAGGTCAAGGAGCAAGATTATACCTGCTGTGGAGCAGGGCATGAAATCTAGTACAAGGCTTTGTTTCAGAATGCAATGCCAGGTAAGCTGAAGAGAGACTCAGCATCCTGTAGCAACTAAAGGCCTCCACGAAAATCAAGGCTCCCAGACAGAGCCTGTACTGATTCAAGCAACAGGCAGCAGCTGTGCAGCAGTGGGATAGGCCGGCATTTCAGCCACATCAGTTCCAGCCTTGGAGTGGGCCTGGTGCAAATTGCCCTCCTCTTGAAGTTGTTCTTCTCTTTCCTATCATGTTAAGTTACTATCATCTCAGCGTAGCTTGTTATACTCAAAGATTGATTTTATAAGCCCTATGGTAACCACAGAGCAAAAATCTGTAATAGATAAATCAAAAATAATAAGCAAGAGATCAAAGGTCACTATAGTACTAAAGTAACTCATTTATCCACCTAGGAAGACTATCTAAGAGGGAGAAAGAAAATCACTGTAACAAAACTAAAAAGTAACATATGTTATGCTGTAATAAGACCTAACCTATCAACAATTAACTCGAGTGTAAATAAATGTGATTCTCCCACTAAAACACAGAGTCATTGAATGGATAAAAGAATAAGAAAGAGAATTTACTTATAGATGAATACTAGCTCACATTTGACCTTTAACCCTTGTATAAATCCTTTAGAGTCATTCAACTCACACATATGATATCTCCCACCTGTAGGTGGAAGGTGAGCCAGTGTTCCTTCAGGGTAATCATTCACCAAGCCACCCCTGCAAAAGCATCTTTCTCCCGTGGCACCTGTGCTATCATCCTCTTTAGAGGCAGAGAGAATTCATCCCCAGTCCAAAACATAAACACTGATTCAATCCCCCAAAGTACATTTATTCTTTGTTATTCCTCCATAGCCTCTGCTCACTCCCATCATATACTACTCCTACCTCCTCAATAAGATGCCCCTATAACTGACATCTTCTACAGAATACAACACTTTCGGCTCCACTGATCTTAAAGGCAAGATCAATGTTCAGAGTTCAAGGTGTTCTTTTAGATGTGTCTTCTCCAATGCCTCTGTGGCCCTGAGCTCCATCCAGAAAGTCACTTCCTTGTCTTTCAGCTTCTGAGCTGCCTGGGTAGTGGCACCAATCTGCAGGTAACTTTCCTCCCAGAGATGGTATTCTGGCCAGTGAGGCAGCCCTTCTGAGTTGGGGTTCCTGGGAAGAGAATCAAACAAAAATCCCTCAAAACTGCTGTGTATCATTTCACCAATTCTCTGAAACTTGGAGGAGTCCCTTGGTTTATCTCTGCCGAGAGAAACTAAGGCCTCATGAGATGGGAACTCCACACTTCCTGGTACAGCCCTTTGCGCTCATTGTGAGAGCACATAGTCCCAGGGTCATGGGGTTTGGTCACTCAGACTTTAGAAGCCAATCCTTCCCAATCTGCCCTGCTCAGTCCTGCTCCATCTTTGCCATTAACCTTACCCATGCTGAGCAAAATTGGCCCAGAACTTCATCACCATCTTGCTGAGGTTGGTCTCCTCTTCTGAGGCACCCTCTGTTACAAAGAAGAAAAATATTCTTTGCTACCAAAAATGGCTCATGGGCCTGCAGCATGAGCAACATGACTTGGGAGGTTGTTAGAAATATAGAGTCTTGGCCCTCAGTCTACTAACTATTGAGCCAAAATCTGCATTTTTAAAGAAGATTCTGGTTACTTGGTGTGCATTTTCATTTTGAGAATGATGAGTCTAGGACTTGGCAACCAGCATGCAGTCCAGTTGTTAGCTGGCTGCCTGTTGTGGTCCATGCCCACCTACCAATATCCCTCAGGGTCAAAATGCCACAACCCAGGGTTTCTTCCACTTTGCAGAACAGGTGGCTCTTGGGCATTTTCTCAATCTACTATACACACTCATATCTTTGCAGGGTCTGAAAAATATTAGAACTGTCAAGGTCCTAAGGAGTAACCCAACTGGGAGATGCCCAGAGGCACTACTGTGTGATAAATAGTTATGAGGTAGGTCACAAGTCGTGTGAAAATGCTCAGTTAAGGTACTGAAACTATTGTTGAAAGTTTAAAAAAATATTATGTTATGCAATATACTTTAGGTGAAATATGTTTCAGATTTATTAGTAAGTTTAAATTTATTGATGGAAAGGGCAGATACAGATGACACTCAGTTCAAGGTTAGCAGCAATTCGGGCTCTCACTTGGATTCTGGTGGGCTTCTGTGAGTGTGATATCAAGCACTGACACTGTTGCCCTGAAGCAAAGCCTGCAAGTGACCCACCACCTTTCTAGTTAAGGTCAGGTTTCTGAGAGTGACTATGGCAGTGGACACATGAATTCACATCTTGCATGTTACAGCAAGAGAAAGGTTGGGTACTGCCCAATGTAGCTCAGGATTGTGACAGTGAATCAGGAACCTAAGATTAGGAGAGAAGAAACTTGCTCCAAGTCATCATAACACAACTGGAAATCTGGCCTCCCAACTCTTCATTCATATATAGCAAAGAGCAACTACCTTTTAAAATTGGGGCCCCAAATACTGAATAGATCTCATCCCCATGGTCTCCTATCACCGAATTGGGTTTCATGGGTGATGAGAAGCTTGGGAGATACCAGAACTCATACATGTAGGTGGGGGCTCCGGCATCTGAGAAGACATAGAACATGCACAGTTCACCTCACCAGACACAGACCTGGAAAATCTCAGGGTCTTTGGTTGTGCAAGAGGCTTCTGGTTAGCTGCATAGGATGGAAACAGTTTCAGGAAAGCTTCTTGCCTGGTTTTAGGGAAGCATAGCTAGTTGAAGTAGAATTGAGGTTTGAACCAGGTATTTGTTGAATGACAAAATAAATGAATGGAGAACACGCAACCGATACACCAAATGTGTTACACTGACAACACGCTAGTCCTCATTCATTTCAAAAATATTTGTAGCCCAGTAGGTATCTTCTATTTAGCCTAATTTTGAACATTTCTAGTGTATTTCTCATCCATTCAGTACAAGTTGGAAGACAGGCCATAGATCTGGGAAATAACATTCAGGAACAAGAGAATCAAAGGCAATGAGACACCAGCAAAAGGCCAAATATTCACATAATAAGAGCTACAGAAAAAGAAGAAAAAAGAAAAGTTCAGCAAGCATATTTCTACAAACTGTGGTTCAAAGTTTCTTAATCTGAGATCTATGACAAAATTTACATATGGAAAGCACAGAGGCCTCCAGTCACTTTCACACAAAAGGGTGTACCAAAGCACAGAGTGTTATAACTATTAAGAATAAAAGACAAAGGAAAACGTCCAAGATCAAGTAATAAGAAACACATCGCATAGAAAGATGTGCCAATATGACTATCAGAAGACTACTTAATAGGATCTCTTCAGGCCAAGAGAGAGTAGGTGATGTATTCAGTGTACCAAAAGGAAAACAACAAAGATTAAACTTAGAATACTGAGTTTGAAAAGCTTTCTTTCAGAAATGGGGGAAAAATAACAATGTTCCCATACAATTAAAACCTTGTGGAATTCAACACTTCTAGGCATGCCTTAGAAGAATTTCTAAAAGACATTCTCTAAACTGAACAAAATATCACTCATTAATAATAAAAAATATATGAAAGCAACAAACTCAATGATATTTTATATAAATAGAGTCACAATCAGAATAGCTAGGTCTATAATGATAAAGTGTAAGGCACTGTTATCTCCAGTACCAGAGGAAAACACCAAATCATTTATTAACAACTATAGCTATAGTAAGTTGTGGTTAAATTTTGAGATAAATTCTGACATCAAAAATATAAAAAGTATACGGCTGCTATATGAAATCAAAGTTAAATTTTTATCTTCTTAAAATAGGTTGTTACAAGTGTAAGATGTTCTATGTAAGTCTAAGGTAATGACAAAGAAAACACCTGTAGTAAAGGTGCATAATACAGACACACATATGTACACATACACATACACACAAAACAGTAAGATTTCAAATCATACTACTAAAGAAAACATTAAAGCACAAGGAAGG